ACACTCATCCCCTGGCCTGCCCTGACTGTGGAGGGGCACAGTGGGCCTCACTGATTGACCAGTACTCATCCCCTGGCCTGCCCTGACTGTGGAGGGGCACAGTGGGCCTCACTGTTTGACCAGCACTCATCCCCTGGACCGTCCTGGGCACAGTGGGCCTCACTGAAAAACAACATAGAGTTTCATTGCCAAGGAAGGAAGGAAGGTATTTAGGAAGCAGCCAGCCCTCTGTACCTCAAGGGTGAAGCAGGAAGTGAAGGGATACTGAGGCCAGTGTGTGGGATGACCAGCCATGCTTTGTGTGATGGGTGCATGTGGGGTGTTTTTTGGTGGCACTTCTTAGCCTTGACCTCAGCTGAGTAGGGCACTACTCTGTGGAACACTGGGGTGTGTGTGTGTGTGTGTGTGTGAGTTGTTAGGGTTGCTGCCTTGCAAATTTTAGTCATTTACTTACCCTGTAGTTTATTTTATTTTTAATGGAATACTTTTAGAAAACCTGAATGCCTTTACTTAAAAAGGAGACTTTATCTCTGACTACACATGGAGAGTGGGTAACTGTGAGCTGGAGACAGCTTCTGACTGAGACCCCCCGTTTGGAGATGGGGCAGTTGCTTCTCTTTTTGGCCCAGGCCTGGGGCCCCACCAGGATGGGCAAGTGTCTCAGAAGCTCCATGGTCACCAACTGGCCTGCAGGTGGTGTGGTCAGCAGTGTGAGAAGCTCATTCAGCTGCCCCTTTTGGAGGAGCTTCTCATGCACAGGGGACTGAGGGTGGAGCCAGATAGCCACATTCTGCCCTGAGGAGGTGTGTTGGGGTCCAGCGGATAAGTAACAGCCAGACATTGGTCGCTTTTACTTTATCATACACAATGCTGAAGTTCCGGCTGCTGGATTGATAACAGAGATCCTGCTATTGGTGCCATTCCTGGAGTAGCTTCAAGGTCCTGTTAAAATAGGCAGTGTCTCTTTTTCTAGCCCTGTACAAAGACAAGAAGGAAAGACTGAGGCTATAAATTTTGGTGGTAAAAACATAGTAGTAAAAAGTTTTCATATGCAAAAAAAAAAAAAAAAA